TTCTGAGAATAGATCTTAAAAAGCACTATGGTATGCTCCTTATTCTGTCTGGGATCACTCACTCTGGTGGAAGCCAAATGCCATGTTATAGGGACACTCAAGTTACCCCAGGAAATGCCAAAATGGTGAGGGCCTGAAAATGCCTAACACTTCTCATCAAGCTGCTGAGGCCTCCTGCCTCCAGCCATGAAAGGGACTTTGGAAACAGATCCTTCAGCCACAGGTGGCCTTGAGATGCCATTTTGAATGCAACCTTATGAGAGACCAGGAGACAGGATCGCCAGCCACACCACTTCCAATCTCCTAACTCACAGAAACTAAGATAATGCATGTTTTTGTTTTAAACCTTAAATTTGAGAGTAATGCAGCAGTAGCTAATTATTGTAATATAGTAGTTAATGGTACATGATGAGTAGGAAAGTACTGGAAAATAAGAACGATGTACATCACTAGCTCCTCTTTGTATCATCACACCATACATAAAGACTATTTTTTGGTTGACACTTGCAGGTACTATTTAAACTGTCATTTTGGCCTCTTCTCCCACTCTCCTTCCTTATGGATTATTTAGAACCACCCAAAATGTCTCTGATGAAACCTAATAAGTGTCCTGTGTTTCCTGCTTGTTAATGGATCACAGAATAATCGTGAAGTTCTTCCCCAGTCACTAGTGTCGTGACCTCAATTAAGCTCACCAAAAAGCAACCACACTTTGATCCAGTCTATACACATTTGCCAACATGGTATGGTTTTAAGTTTATATATAGCCCATAGTTTATTTGGTGTCAATCCAATTTCCAGTATAAAGACTAAATGACTAACTCAAAGCTCTAGATGCTGATTCCACTGCATAAAAACTAAAGGAGGCTAATCTAGGTTGGTTACACAATGAATTCTGCGAGCCCATTTTGTTGTATTCAGCATCAACAGAAGGGACAGTTCTAAAAAGAAAGTGTATCAACTAGAACTACATTCATCTTTGAGGAACAGAAAACCCAACTACAGTAGCTTAAACAGGTATACAGCTTATGTTTTCATACAATAAGAATTCTAGGTACTGACAGTCTGGCACTGGGGCAGTCATTCAGGGATGTCACTATTGTATTAAGCTTAGAGTGATTGCCAGCTTTGTTGTCAACGTGTGCTGGCTGCCCTTACAGGTGGAAGAGAGCTGCGGTCTCTGCAGGCATCCTGTCCCAGCTCCAGGTGGGAAGGACAAAGGACAAAGCTTTCTCCTCAGGATGCCTTGTTGTTTCTTTGGTGTTTGTTTTCTTTTCAGAGAAGAAAGCCTCTCTAAACATTTCTGACAGCATCTCACTGGACGGAATTGAATCCCATGACCACCCTGAATGGCAGGGGAGACTAAGAATTCAAATACTTATCCTATAGTCCCTACCAAAAAAAAACATCAAGAAAGAAATTGGTTGAAATGGTTGTGGAGTGACCTAATCCTTAGTACTTTAATATCTTCCACAGAAGGGGATCTAGGGTGATTTTGGATGTATATATGTATGTGTATCTACTATATGTGCATATATATGTATATACATATGCATTTTTAAAAAATTGTCACTCAGCAACAGTTTTTTCCACAGAAAGGAAGAAGCTCAGGAAGAAAATGTTTTGGTGCGGTTCTGGGTGGGTGTGTTTGACAGTGCTTAATATCAGCAGCACTGAAAGTAATAAATGTTATCCCTCTTTTCTATCATGAATATGAATGATGCTCTGAAGGCTGAATGCAACCTAAGAATTTACGTGAGAAATGAGCCATGAACCACTTTTGAAAATATATTAGCCCAAAGTCTGTATTACTGCATATTTTATACCCTTTTCAATATGCTACAAAAGGTTTGAGCCATCAGCTTGAGTGCTGCCAGCAAAGAACAAACAAGAGCAAGGATACAAAAATGAATGCTGGGAGTCAAGTTACCCCAAGATGTTCTTTATGGTTGGTACAATAATCACAGCAGTCTGCTTTGCTTCAGACTCTCCTCATCAGCACTTCTCCTGCAAGCCTGGTTTCCCAGCAAGTTTATCCTAGGCTAAGTCGTCAGAAATATTCATGGAGCAAAGTTGATATTTGAGAAAGTACTCCATAAACATCTTCCACTGCCCCTGGTGTTTGGTTCCCTGTACCTTCTTCTATGTCTAAGATCCTTCCTACCATTTTAAGAACATTAAAAAAAACTCACCTGGTTGAATATTTTCTGATTAGGAGTTGAGTTAATAATTAAAATTTTTATTCTGAATGTTTTTTATAGCTTTTAAAAAATTTATTTTTAGAGAGAGGAGAAGGAAAGGAGAAAGAGAGGGAGAGAAACATTGATCAGTTGCCTCTTGTACATGCCCCAGCTGGGGACTGAACCCACAACCCAGGCATGTGCCCTGACTTGGAATTGAACCAGCAACTTTTCACTTTGCAGGATGACACCAAACCAACTGAGCCATACCAGTCAGGGTAATTCTGAATGCTTTTATTGTTCAAAATATATTTTGTAGGTATGGGCATATGATAATTATTAATACATTTTATATCTTATGAACTTTATTCCACATTAATGATATTCAGTAAAATGGTCAGCCATATGAAAATACTTACTCTGTAATGGTATTATTCATTATTTCAATCATTTTTACTTCCATGTTGTTTTTCAAAGTTCAAAAATGAATAAAATTCATTCCCATAATACAAAACAAATATCAACTTCCATATTTTCAGGAGGCTATTGTCTTTCCAGACCAAATCTGAGACATTTGAGGTTTGTAAAATAAAAATATAGGGGGCATCACATTTGCAGACAAGTGCCCACCAGTTCTCTGATCCCAGAGAGTCTCATGTCTCCTGGTTCATATACTAAGCATCTTCTGGAACTTTTATAAAATACCAATTCCTGGGCTCCAGACATGACAATTGAGTTGGACAAAGTGTGGCTCAGAAGTCTGAATTTTTAACAAACACTCCAAGTGATTGTCACACAGACAGTCCAGGGCCAGACCTGGAGAAGCATTGGTCTAAGGCACCTGCTCACCTGGACGAGAGGCCCCAGTCTGTGCCAAGGTCCATTCTCATGCCCTCAACATGCCAGTGTCCCCGTTCACATCAGAGCTGCTCTCTGAGAAATGACTCCCTCTTTGCCCCATCTCTCAAAGGGTTAACTGCTTCTACTTTTCCTCAGTCACAATGAGCTAATAAATTAATAGTTTGAATAATAATTCCTAATACTTAACACTGTTACACCCAAGTATTGTCATACAGAAAATGTTTCTTAAGTAATTAAGTTCAGTTGAATGCCTACTCTGAATAAAGAAAGATTAAAGATAGATAAGACTACCCTCTACTCCCAAACAGATTTCTAGATTAGAGAGCTCCTGCCTGTCCCACTGAGTCTGAGCTTCTTCAGCTGATCTGGTGACAAACTGCATAGCACAACTGCACAATTACCATTCAAAGAGGATATATCTTGGCCAAATGAAATGTCCAGAAAGATGGGTCTTAGAGCAAAGACGGATCTTTAACTCTTTTCTTCTATGAACTTTCTACATTTTTACCTCATTTCTAAGAGATGTTTCTATTTCTTTTACTAAAAACCTCAGGAAGGATTGATTTCTCTTGATACAATACATGTCTGGGGAGGTCTTATTATAAACCAGCCCAATTTTTGCTTGGCTCTCAGACAGTTTCACTTAGATACCGTATCTGAGGCCTCATCTAAATTTAGGAGAATGAGACTGCATGTTTCAGACATAATCTGGCAGCTATGCTTGTGAAAGTGTCACAAAGCCCTTGTGCAGAGTAAGAGAAGGAAGGAGGGGAGGGAGACAAGAAGAGAGGAGCCTCCGTGAGAACAACTGCATTTTTTAAAGCATCTTCTCAATACCAGCTATGATGCTAGGTGCTTTAATGAAGGACCTCCCTTAATACTTAAAACAGCCACGAGATACAGGTTCTTTACAGACTGATTTTTCAGATGATGAAAACTGATGCAGAGAGAGATTGAGGAGCTGACCAGATTCAAACAGAGCTGTCTGTTTTCAGAGCTCTCAACCAGTACTTCAAGAGAAGGCCCTGGCCAGTGGGCAATCAGGCCACGTGCAGCCGAGTGCACGACCTCAGAGTGAGGATCTGCCACTGTGGACGCTTCAGAACAGCCGGCAGAAACTGGGGTTCATCAAAAGTTATGGTCCATTGTTTAATTCATCAGCCTAAAAAATCAGGCTGGACTGAGGAGTTCGAGCTCCCTTTCCTCACCACATCCGCCCCTCACAATTCATATGCTATGTGTAGCCTCTGCCATTGATCAATCTACTGCACCAAGAAAGGTCAGTTCTAAGTTTTCTAGTAAAATATCAGAATAATCAAGGAGGATGCTATTGGTGTCAGAAAAATATTAAAAATCAGTATAATGCCGGAGTTGGCTCTATTGACATATACTCTGTATTTTGTTACAGGGTGAATAGCAACTATTTGGCTATTAATGTTTATTATTATTATTATTATTATTATTATTATTATTATTATTATTAAGGCCTAAGGTTCAGACATTCATAATTGTTTGAACTTCTGGGCTAATTAATGCAATATTTAAAGAGATATGTCAGAAATCACATTGTATATTTTTATACAAAATGTAAAAAACAAAAAAGGCATGCACCCCATGCTGAAGGTTGCCAGATAGTTCTAAAGCACTTAGCATAGGTGTTGTCAGAGAAAATCCCAGTATATTAATTATAACAGGCTCAGAGTTACTTATCAAAAGGCTGTAGCACATGATGTTTTACATAATCAAAATGGTTTATTAACTCAAGTAGTAATTTTATTTTTTCATTTATATTCTAATTCCCAGGGACATAATCATATCAATTACAAAACAACCTACAATAAGTAAATACAAAGTAGCTACAAGGCTATGTAAGCCTTGTACATTACTTAGCATATTATACAGCTCCATAACAAGACAATTTTCACAAAACACCTCGTAAATGTTGATGATTCACATTACCTGATAAGAAACATCTTGTAGTTTTTCTCCTTGAAGAGTATGCATGTTATTACTCAAAAGAAAATCATCTTCATGTAAATCTATTAAAACAGATTAATGTTATATATGGGTTAAAAGAAATTGTAGGATTTAAGAAGTGTGAGTATAATTTATTGAATAATACTAATGTTTTTCTTCAGTTTATTAAGGTACTATATTGACTAGATGATAAGTATTTTCTTAAAAGTGTTATTCTTACTGAAAGCAGATAAATATAAAATGGAAATTTAACAAAACAAAAAATGAAGAATGACCCTGAAAAGTTGTGTACCTACCACACAAGACATGAAGCCTCTCGGGGACTCAGTTTCCCTGTCGGTAATAATAAAAGGTCAGCACATAGACACGAAAGCCTCTTTCGACTCCCCAGTGCTATGGTTCCATGAAGTTATCCTCTCACCCGTTTCTGTTAAATGAATCTTTCCAACCCTGGCATTTTGAGCTTCATTATTATGCCATCTCAACCTGAATTATGTTGCAGCTGTTCTGTGCATGCATTAGTAAAAGCTATGCCATGTGGCATCTATTTACTTGAAGCTAATAGAAACTTTTCAAAAGGTAGTAGCATTTCCCTTTCAAGCCCTGTAAAAGGGGATCACTTTATTTAAATCCAAAATAGGATGTGCTAAAAAACCATAGGACTTCGTGGATTCCTTAATCCAAGCCACACAGTTTACAGATGAGGGTGTTGAGACTCCCAGAAATCACCTGGCCACAATAGGCCAATGACTTTTTCTCTCACCTTCATACCTTGTTACTTGCAGATAGTCCTTTAATTTCCCACTATTCTTTATTCCCACACTCTGTCAAAGAGGAAGACATAGGTGAGGTCTGCCCTTCATGCTCAGTAAAACGTAGGTGCAAGTTTTTGTCCAGATCCCCATCATAGGCAATGGTAAAAGATACATTAAATCCACAGCTCAGTCTCAGAGTTATTTACACCAATTACTTAATATTTAAAACCAGAGTGACCACATTACAGGATTCTAGAAAATGCTTAAATTTTTAAATGAGCTGGTTTTATGATCTGGTTCTTTGAGGCAGTAACTTTCATCTCAGAGCCAGGATCGTGAAGCAGAATTTTGCAGCTTTATTATTATTATTAGTTTCTGTATTTAGAAAAAAAATTCTTTCTCCCACGCCTTTATTTCTTTCTACCTCTTCCTTTTTCTGATGCCTTTCACATGAGTTTTAGAGAGCAAAGTCTGTATTCTTCTGGGTACTGGAAAAAAACAGTAAAGGAGCACTTGTGCTTTAGAATCTGGAAGCAGCTGAGGAGTATGCACAATGAATAGCATCATGTGCATAACAATGCAATGTAGTAAACTGAGTGACTCAGAGGTTATCATGGGGGTGGGCAGGATGGGGGGGGGGGTGGTCACCAGGACCCAGAGTACTTGTGGAAGAGGCAGGGCCCCCGTCAATGGAAGTTTGAAAAATGGATACAGTTGGGAAAGATAGAAGAAAAAGAAAAGTAAAAATGTAGTGACAATGCTGTGAACACTGGCCTTTAGTGTGGAATGAGTAGAATATGTTTAATTAAGTGTAGAGATTGAGATGGGCCTGCAATAAGTAATTCTGAACATAACACAGGAGGAGGTAGGGCTGGAAGAGTAAATACGGCCAAATTTTGGTGGGCTTTCAATGCCAAGTGGAGAAATTTGGACATAACCCACTAAACCAATGTTACAATGGCAGAAGTTAACCATGTACATAACTAAATGAAATGGACTTTGTCAGGGAGATAATGGGAGGTCTGTGGTGAGCTGAACTGCAGGGCTGGCACTGCGAAAGGCCAGCCAGGGAGCTCAGCTCTCTCAGCTGAAATCTCCTCAGACTCAGAGTCCAGGATGGTCCTAGTCCTTCTTGTTTTCCAAAAGAGTGTAAATATATGGAATTTAATGCAAAATTTCCCGATTTTTAAAATACAAATGACCTAACTAAGCTTTTTCTCAGAATAAATTCAGTTATAGAGCTATCAGTTTGTGACATCTTCTACAGGAAGCTTTGAGGGTTTAGGACTAAGGAAGGGCCACAAGGAAAATGGCATTTTATGAAGATTAGCCATTTGTTTTGTGGTCTTATACATTTGAATTTATTTGGAATCTCCCAAATATTACCATACAAGAACACATTTATAGAAAACAGAGGCAATTTGGTCCTAAGTAGCAACAAAGTTGCAATGGTTGAACTAGAGAATTTGCAGCTGTATTTTTCGAAGATGTTTCATACCACTTACTCTGCAGTGTGACCTTGGCACTCCTCTAGCAAGAAATGGAGTTCAGTTCTCCTCTTACTAAACTGAGCCAGCCTTACTGATTCACTTGCCACAGTAGAATTTGTAAACTCCAAGTCTAGGTCAGAAGAAGCTATCTGCTCTGCCTTGATATTTTGGGATGTTCCTCTTCAGACACTTCCCTGTATGATGTGTGAGGTTTCCTCTCACCACCTTCCTTCTTAAAATCTAGCCCTTGGCCTGGGAGAAGCTTACGTGAAATGGGGAAGCTACATGCTGGTTTTCCAGGTGACCAGCCCAGCTGAGCACAGCCTTCAATTATCCCAGAACAGATGCTGGACATGGAAGTGAAGAAGCCTCCAGGTGATTCCAGCCACCAGACACTTAAGTCCTTCCCAGTCATTCAAGTCCTCCTGGATGAAGCCTCAGACATCCTGAAACACTGCCCTGACCAGGTTCCTGATCTCCAACCCCCATGAAACGAGTAAACTGTTGTTTGATGTCATTAGTTTTGGGGTGGTTTGCTTGCAACAAGAGTGTAAGAGCACACATAAACTACATAGTGGGTCACAATAGGAGTGTGCAAAAAATACACCATATAACAGAAACATTCTGACTGCTCCTCAAAAGCAGAGGCAGGAAAAAATGAGGCTGAGGAAACAAAACAAAACAGAAACAGTATTTCTAATCAGCTTCTAGGTTATTCTAACAGAGATACTTCTGACCATGCTCAGGTAACTATATTCCTAGTAAGAGCTCCCCTACTGAATTGAATTCATCCCAAGATTCATTTGTAGCTAAAACTAGAACTCTGAGTGTTCTCATTCACTTCATGAAACCTTTCTTGGAAATAAAAGAGACCCGCTTAGCAGGCAGCCTCTGCTCAGCGAGTTTATTCCCACATCATAAGCAAGCATTCAGGTGTGCACGAGAGCTTCTCTCTGCCTTTCCTCATATTGTCCATTCTGACCAGACTCAAGTCACATGCTCTTGGGAAACAATCCTTAAATTAAAATTCTGGTTCCTAAAAATTAAACAGAATAGTAAATAAATTTGTGACTTTATACATTTGCCCTCTTGAAAATGAGGGTACCAATCCAATAAAGAAAAAGAATTAATAATGTCTGGAAAAATTAAGCAAAATATTTATTTGCTTACTCTGAAGAAGTTGGCCAAATAATAATATTGACTAGAATTCAGGAAAAGTTTCAAACGAGTAGTTATTCAAATGTTAAACTTGAAGGACCTAACATTTCTTTCTCCTCTACCAGTTTACTATAATGAATCTTATCAAAACCATTGGTAAGATTTATTTTTAAAACAATTTTGTAGCTGTATGAGTGGAATTAATATTCCTTTCATTACCAACATGTTTCCTGACCTTATTCAGACCCTATTTCCTTTACTACCATATTTTTTTGCATATTTTCTGTTTTATGGACAAGTCTACTGCAGTAACATTGAAAAAATCTCTAAGTTTCCAAACATGATCTATTTCCTTTTTAAATTTTTGCTTTGTTTTTATTCTTTGTAGTTTCTGGCATAAAATATGAAAACCCTGTTTTTAAAACTACCTTCACTTAAATCATAACTTGATTTTAGGTAAATTCCAATTTATAGGTTTAAAAGATTGTGTTTTAGGGTTGTTTTTTATTTCTACAAAATTAAGGCAAAAGTAAATGTAAAGATTTTTAAATTGATTTTAGTTTACCAAAATGAATATTATAAATAGTTTTCCTGCTTATGAAGCTGACAATACAATTAATATGAATGACAGGTTGATTTTCCTTGATACCTAAATATTGCCAAATTTTCAGTTATAAAGTCCTGGGCACTTGTCCTGGCTGGTGTAACTCAGTGGATTGAGCATGGGCTGCGAACCAAGGGGTAGCCAGTTCAATTCCCAGTCAGGACACATGCCTGGTTTGCAGGCCAGGTGCCTGGTACAGGGCACTCAAGAGGCAACCACACACTGAAAATCCTCTCCTTCTCATTCTCCTCCTCTTCAACTCTCTCTAAAAATGAATAAATAAAATCTTAAAAATTAAAGTCCTGAGCACACAATTTATCTTACATTTATTTTACAGATGTAGTCTCTGTTAATAGCACAGACACACTTTTAGATAAAATTCTTTTTAGGAGAAGGAACTGGTCTGGATAAACTAAAAATGCTATTCTCCTGACACTCAACTCATTCTGATAAATTTTGTATTAACTGATAAAACACAGTCATGTTATCAAGCTATGTGAATTTGTTCATAAATTAAAATACCAGGCACAAATTCTTTGCTTAATATAGCCCATGGAGGTTCCTTTCATCATGCCCCAATATTTTTAGGACAGCAATGCTGTTAACATATGTCATGTAGAAATACCATTTTGAAACTGAAATGGAAACAAAAGCTTTTTTTTTGGTCTTGGAGTTTGCAACAGATTCGCTAGGAGCTAACATCACCCCTACCATTTATTTCCCTATATATTTTCTTCTGCTTTATTGAAGCTGTCTTTACAATTTCATTATTAGTGTTCAAGAAAATCATGGGCTGTGTATGACAGCAATAATGCACCTTCAGATCTTCATTTTACTGAACTTCACAGACTGCCTATCCTCAGGCATAGACAGTAAACCACTCTGAAGTAATTGTGCAATTAAAAAGTAGTGCTTAAAATGAGAAAGAAATATTATGGGTTAATATGGAGGTCACTAATTGCTTAGAAATACTCTGAGCCTTCTAAATGAAGCTACTACCGCCATAAAATTCAAGTCCATTGCTTGTGGCCTTCCCTCCCCCACTGAATTTCTTCCTTCAATTTACAATCACATCAACAGCCTTGGTCTCAGACCATCAACTCTTCCTTGCACAGCATTAATCCCTAAGAAATGTCCTGTGACTCAGCTACTACTGTTGAAATGCCAGCGAAACTTCTTAGATACACACACACACACACACACACACACACACACACACACACCAAACACACAGTCACTCAAGATTCTGAGAAATATCACAGCTGAGAACATTCCTGTAGAGGCTTTCTTCCTTCTCTGACAAAACTGACACCACAAGTCCTAAGAACCTCACCTAATGACCAAGATTTTTTTCTGCTTTATCAGAGTAGCTGTAATAGAATTACCTGCTATTACAAAACTTTTTAAAAGTTCACAGAAAAGTAGTTTTAGGAATTAGAATACTTGAAGAGATTTATGGTCAATCTTATAATTAAATATATCTATAATAAGTTATACCTTCTTTATCCATACATTAATACACAATAATCTAAAAATAACATGTTTATTAAAGGAATGGATAGATGGGTGTTTGGCTCACCTAGAGAGAGTGTGAATGAAGATAGCTGGCATCCATGAGATTAAGATAGAGTCAAATCAAAACATGATATTATTAAAACATTTCCTGTATTGTAATTAAAAGAAAATACTATACTTAAATTATCCCCAGTGTTTCACCTATGTATTTTTTATAATAGAGAAAATTGTAAATATTTAAAAAAATTAGTTAAAATTATTCACCAAAATGTTATATAATATTTAATAAAATAGAAATATTTCAAGGGAAAATGATTATTTTCATATTTTATAAAGCCAAGAGCTCTTTTAAAAAAACAAAAGGCAAAATGTAAACATATATAAATATATGCTATAATTATTCCCTTTGTCCCAAGATAGTAAAAATATTTTTATATAAAAATCAGAAACTCTTAAATTATCAATAACTAATATAATCAAATATTTTTTGTTCAAGTAACACTGTAAAGGCAATGCCAATTAAATCAACCTTTTATGCTGTTGTTCATCTTTGTGAACCCTTAAGACTTTTTTATTCATTACCTGCCCAAAGTTAAGTAATTTTAATTTTGAAGTGATTTATTATTAATGAATATTTTATACCTGGCTGCTAACTTGCTTTGGGGAATTTTTAAAGTATAAAATGGTATAATTCTGTGTTAGTAATCAAAGTTATTTCTTTTAAAGTTTTAAAGAAAATTTAAACATAACAACTGTTAATATATTCATGTTATTTTTAAAGGTTTATTCAATGTACTGATTTTTAATACATTTTAAATTATTTTAGACATTAGAGACTTTCAAATATTATTTGCACTTGATTCTTTGCTTCAACAGGCAACTTAATTAGATTTCACTTCCTTTCTGTATGTCTCTATGTATCTACACATACATGTTTATATTCTATTAATAATACATATGTTCTATTTATTTGTCTTTCTTTTTAAGTAGACCACAATGCCTGCTTATTTTAATGGGAAAAGATGTAAATATTTTTACCTGGCCTTTAAACTACTTCGGGAAAGTGCAAAGTCAGCAGAACTAAGTTTAGCAATTACCTTTCCGCTGACAGAGTCTTCTGATGTGGGGATCATTCTCAGGCTTGCAGGATTCCTGCCAAATTGTATCATTGACTGTTTTCCTTTCTAAAGTAAAGCAGAGGATTGGTTAGCAGAATTCACAGTAAGTGTAAGAAATTTAAAATCAAAACAAATTCTGCACATTGTTGTAAGGTGGTGATATGAAACAAAAGTTCTATGGTTCATTCTAGGAAGTTCTAGTCAGTGATGGACACCCCCAGATGTCCTGTGGGCTCCCATTGTTTCCACGAACTACATAAGCACCCAGGCATATATGGTAGAATGCTGCGACTGAAATACCTGATTGTAAAAAAATGATTGTGCTGAGAAAACATTAAGCTGTGGTAGATTCAAGATCCTTAAATGAAAAAACCAACATTTGCTCAGTCGTGTCCTCCTGACACCTAAAGAAGGCCCTGGACATGTGTGAAGAACTGAACTGCATGGAAATGAAGAACTGGTTTTAAGTAATGCAAATGCAAGCAAAGCATCAAATGGAGACAAACACTCATATTTGACTAGAGAAAAGGCATTGATCATCAGGAATCAAGTTAGGATAGAAACCTCTGTAGTCTTCTGTGCATAAACTGAAAAGCATGCTATGAGAATGGAGATACCCTTGAAGATAACAATCATTGATGGTTATCACCTTGCTCTAAATAAGCTTTGCAGAGCAATCCAGGTATATGATTTTGAAAAAAAGGAAAAGTAGTTTGAGCATCCAACTCCTAGGCTCTGCAGGGGAGAAAGAAAGGAGAAAAGATATCCCCAAGCTTGACAAACTGAATAAAAAATGAATTATTGACTGAATAATCCAGATGTTTTGCCACTGAGAATGATTTAAAATTAGTGTCACTCTATATCCTGTAAGGGAAAGAGACATTATTAACTAGCTTTCAAAAAGTAATTTATAGAATTAGAGATTTACTTCAGATTTAAAATACAAACTGTTAGTTGCCTTTATTACTACTATGGATAATGTAATTGCAGACACTAAAACTATAATACAAGGCATGTAATCAAAACAGCATGGTACTAGCATGAAAATAGTCATATAGATCAATGGGACACAACAGAGAGCCAAGAAATAAACCCACACCTATATGTCAATTTATATTGACAAAGGAGGCAAGAACATACAATGGGATAAAGGAAGTCTATTCATTAAACTGTACCAGAAAAGTTGGACAGATATAAGCAAAAAAGTGAAAGTAGATTACCTTCTTACACCTCATTGAAGAATGAACTAAAAATGGATTAGACTTAAATGTAGGACTCGAAACCATGACAATCCTAGAAGACAACATGGCAGTAAAATCTCAGATGTTTCTGGTACCAATATTTTTCTGCTATATCTCCTTGGGCAAGGGAAACAAAAGAAAACAAATGGTATTATATCAAACTAAAACATTTTTTGCATAGCAGAGAGTACAATCAACAAATGAAGAAAAAATTTACTAAATGGGAAAACATATTTGCTAATGATGCATCTGATAAGGGGTTAATATCTAAACTTTATAAAGAATTCATACTACTCAATGCCAAAAAAGCAAACAATTCAGTTTTAAAAAATGGACAGAGGATCTGAATAGACATTTGTCTAAAGAGAACATACAGTGGGTCAGTAGATGTATAGAAAAATGCTGTGTCACTAATCATCAGAGAAATGGAAATTAAAAGTACAATGAGATATTACCTCACACTTGTCAGAATGACTATCATCAATAAAACCACAAATGGTCAGTGTTTCCAAGGATGTGGAGAAAGGGGAACACTCATACACTGCTGGTGGGAATGCAGACTGGTGCAGCCACTGTGGATAACAGTATGGAGTTCCCTCAAAAGTTAAAAGTGGCTCTGCCTTACAACCCAGTGATTATTTCTGGGGATTTATTCAAAGAAGCCCCAAACACTAATCCAAAACAATATAGGCACCCCTACATTCACCGCAGCATTATTTACAGTAGCCAACCTATGGAAACAAACCAACTGTATATCAAAGGGTAAGTGGATAAAAAAAGATGTGGTATCTATATGCAATGGAACATTACTCAGCCATTAAAGAAAAGAATGATATCTTACCATTTGTGACAGCATGGATGGACCTAAAGAGTACTATGCTAAGTGAAATAAGTCAGTAAGAGAAAGGCAAATACTATGTAACTTATATGGTATTTGACTTATGTGGAATCTAAAGAACAAAATAAATGAAGAAACAAAATTGAAACAGGCTCCTACATACAGAGAAAGAACTGGTGGTTGTCAGAGGGGTGGGGTTGGAGCACTGGGTAAAAGAAGTGAAAGGACTAAGAAGTAAACTTTGGTAGTTATAAAACAGTCATGGGGAAGTAAATAGAGCATAGAAAATACAGTCAAAATATCGTGATAAATATATATGGTGCCAGTTGGAAATATTGAGGGGAACACTATGTAAATTCTGTGATTGTCTAACCATTAAGCTGTACAACTGAAACCAACACCTGTTTGAAATGCTGTCGAAAAGTTTTTTGTAATCCAACTATTTTTAATTCTTTTTTATTTACTCCTAGATTCATAAATCTGAAAAGACATCTAAGAGGTCAAGATGACCTTTTAAAAGAGGTCAATGATCAGTCAATGATTTGTGTTAGCAATTTAAAGTTAGAATGGAATCACATGCACTTTTTAAAAATTTATTCTATAAAATGTAAAGAAAATTCCATTTGTTTTTTATTAATCACTTATTGTTGCTTATGTCAGTAGCATAGGAAAGAATTTTCATGGAAACGGACCATATCATGTGCATGAGTAATCATGAATTACTAACCAAATCCTTTGTTTTCAGACATAGATCTCCAGATTGACCTAGAAAAATAAAAGAAATAGATATTTAAGTCCATATTTAATAAATAATAGTATTTCAATCTAACAGAAGTAAGATCATTTAGACACATGGGTAATGCCTTTAACAACAGAAATAAATGCTATTTCTAAGTAAGGCCTACACATAGTCCTGTATTTTTCTGACTGTAAATGGCAAAGTACAGTTAATACAGCATAATCTTGGCCTAAAAATTCCCATTCAATATGGAGAAACTAATATTCATTAACCTCCTCCCTGCAAAAGTGGGCCATTTCCACATGAATGTAACTCCAGATAATTAGATAGAAGTTCTTTTTTAAATAATCATGTTCAATAATTACAGAAAGAATGAATAAATTTAATATAACCATTGTGCAATCACAACAATGATCTGGGCAATAATCATCAATTGCTGTTAAAGCTTTTAATTGAAAGGCTGATTTGTAACTTTGTGCTGGATGGATCAACCTGATGCCATCTGAACCCACTAAGCAATTTCAGTTACAAAAGTAGAGACGACCAGATACAGGGATTTCCTTGTAATACAACAGGAAGTATATAGTCACTGATGACCTACTTAAAAAAAATATATATATAAACTTGAATCTTATCAGGCCTCAAGATCTGACTATAATTTTACAAGAAAAATAGAGGATTAAAAGAGCATTTTTTTAAAAAAAAATTCAAGGATGCAATCGGAAAAAAAATTTAAATATGGGAAATTCCTCAGAAGAGCCAGCAGGGTTTCAAATAAATAGAAAAAGAAACATAAGTTAAGAGGCAAAAATCAAATGCATTGCATGAATCTTGTTTGGATTGTGATTCAAATTAACTGTAAAAATTATCTGATGTTATTAGAGAAATTCTAACATTGTATTTGGTGATACTAAGTCATTTTTCTCATTTTGTGCTAGTGCAGTTGTGGTATTGTGGTTCATTTTTTTAAGCAGTTCTTGTTTTTTAAAGGTGTATTGAAACATGAAACTATATGTCTGGGATCTATTTTTAAAACAACCTAGTGAGGAATGAGGGGAGAGGGGAGGCGAATGGGTAGAGATGAACTAAGATTGACTATAAGTCTATACTCATTCAAGCTTGGGGATGTGATATGATCATTATCTCTTCCTCTGTGTAAAATTTAAATTTTCCATAATAAAATGTCTAAAACAGAAATTGGAGATAAGACTACGCTGACTCAACCATGTTAATCAACTTAAATGTTGGGTGAAAACATACGTATCCTTTACATATAACAACTCTGTTTTAGCTTGAGTGTATCAACCATTTCTAGTCATGGTAATCATTAAATTAAACCCAAGGTCACTTTTTTGTGGTTTTTTTTTTTTTAAGCTCAGGGTTGTAAGCAAAACACTGCCCATGTAATTTTTCTTCTTTTCTTAACCATTATATTTATTTCATTTCTAATTCAAAATGCTTAGGGTCTTTCTTGGCAAATAGCAAGTGTTCCAAAAAGGCTATTTATAATATTATAAAGTGAGGTAGTTGCATAACAACATGAGATGTTATTCCCTTCAGGGGAGTGGTGGGCAAAAAAAAAAAAAATCAAAGAACTCAAAAGAGTCTTCAATTTTATTTTAACTGGTTGGAACCCGAGGAGCACTTTAATGGATTTGGTTTATGTTTGAAAAATCCCAATTCAGTTGGTATCAGGTACTTTCCATTTCATTCATTCTCATCTGCCCCTCCCCCTGTTGGTATCCTCCAATCTGTAGAAACACAAATCAATCATGAGCCAATAGCTGTGGTTTTTGTTTAAGTTTTTGATTTGGTATTAGTGAGTTCCTTATTTGTGGATAGATTAAACAGCTACATAATTGGGTTGATTTTTAAGACTGAGAAGAACCCTGGGGGCAGGGGGAGGAAACACTTTTTTTTTACTCCAGTTTATGTCTGAAATGACACTGTTGTAGTTTTAGTAGTTAACTGTGGCTAAAATACAACTACCCTTGCCTGGAAGGTGTTCTAAACTGTTAATCCTGCAATTACCTACTTACTATGGATACATTTTATATCCTTACTGGGAGAGAGCTTTGAGCAGGGAAGGGAGGAAAGAATAAGTAAGCATGCAGTAATTGAGGGAGTCAGGGCAGGAAGAGCAGGAGCTGTGGAGGGGGGTGGTTGGCACTGTGTCCAGAGAAAATTTCACATATTAACAATTTAGTCTCAGACCATTCTGGAGTGCAAGGTACCCATTTTCTGTATCATCAGCTACCAGCCTGGAAATTTCCCAATAAACCAACTTCCTGCCCAAATCCCATTACTGCAACATGTGTGTGTCACATCCTCTGGGGACTTGATCAGCTGAGTGTAAAGCCAAGCCTGACCTAAATAACCCAAATCTCTTTGCAAACACATTTTTATTTGGATTAAAAGAACTCTTCAGAAGATTAATAGATCACTGATAGAAATGTTTTTGAGTAGGCTCCCACTTTAATCTGAGCCTAGTGTAAACACATTTCTTTTTCTGAAAATTTAATTTTCACAGCCTTGTCTACAGGAACATCACACCATACATTTCCTATGCATCAGCATAAACAGATAAATGGTAGCAGGGTAAAACATACATAGATTGTACATGACAATTTTTAAAAAGCACTTTGACAGAAAAAAACACTAAAAGATTCCATTCAACATCATAGAACTAAGAGAACATAAAATTTTCAAGGTAAATTTGACTTTCTTTCTGGTTTTACATTCTCAAAATTAGGAACTTCTTGTAAAATAAAATAATACTACCTAAAGAAATCAGAAAAGGAATTCATCATCAAATGTAATCCAAATATAGCTCATTTTGCCCACTCTAGCAAAGTGACTGGTATTTCCTCCTTGTAGTTTAGTAATGTATTATAGAATCACACTTCAAGTTTTTATTTTTTCTCCTTTTATTTTTGTAACATTGAGAAGTGTAGAATGCTTCTTTCATTAACTAGGGTTTGTGCTTTATTCTAAACCCTTTCCAGTCTTTTAAATAAAAATCTGTGATTAAATCCTCATAATCTGAACTTTTCATGCCCCATCAGCTCACCAAGACCAAGGGGAGAGATACATACCAAAATATGTTAATTACGTTATATAGTGCCTTTCTTTGAGAATGATGGAAAATAGCCTATCACGGTATCCTAAGTGTGTTGAAACATACCTGTGATTTATCTGGTCATTTTCTTCAGAGCTTTGATCATTGTATGACCCATTACACTTTTTGGAGGATAATTTGTTGCCACATCTTTCACTATCCTTAAAAGACCATGAACTGCTCCCAGGTACCTTTAAGGACACTTCAGATTCTTTAGTTATTATTCACTCCTTCCTTCATTTAAAAACCATTTTTTGTTTTTAATGTTCAAAGTGCTTTTTGAACATCTACCACATGATAGGTAGCAGACCATGGTCTGGAGAAGTTTATTTAGTACAGTAGGAATTTTTGCATTAAATAATATCGAGGCCAATATTCCACATTTTGCATTAAGTAATACTGAAGCCAATGTTCCATATTTGGGGGAAAAACACACTGTAAAGGCTAGAAAGTGATGAACAAAAATCAGAAAAGGAATTTTGGTTTTATTATTCTAATGATTGATAGTGTTAGTCTGAGCACTGTCAAATTCAGAACAATCTTTCCCCTATATAGGAACTAAAGAGTCATTTTTCTAATCCCTATGGTATTTTGCTTTGTTTTCTTTCCATCAAGATTTAGCTCTCAAGGACAATTTGAATTACCTATTTCAAGCTGAGTAGATAGGGCATCATGGAAAAGTCTATATGCTGAGACAATCATTCATGAAACTTGAGAAACAAGCTTTGCCCAATTAAAATGCCTGTGAACTACCTAGAGGACAATGTCTAGTTGGAGACCAGTGTGGGCAGAGGTAGAGATGTGGGAATCAGGCCCTGGGGTTAGTTGGGTCATCAACAGAGCTTTGAGGAATAATAGGTCAGACAGACCATTCCGTCAATTCTCTATGCTTTGCCATCATATGTCCTAAAAATAATCTATGGTTTTATGAAATCTCTACCCATGGTCTTATGAAATTCTTTTTGTCTCGGTCTAGATGTCTGCAGACCTTACCCCAGGACCTAGTTGTGCACCTTTCACCAAAAATCAGCAGCCTCACCAGCTTCCTGAAAGTCATGAGGAAAGAAGATGACCATTCATTATCATAGTAATATTTTATATTTGTAATTTAACTAGGAGGGAGCAAGATTCATGTTAACATAATCTACAAAGTCTGGGCCAAATAAGTCTCAGTAACCAGAGTCCATTGTTTTGAGTCTAATTAATTTATTGTATAGGTGGGCATAATATCTAAATTGAGAATTTTGCACTCCTCAAAATAGATTCTACCTCTTTTGAATATAGAGAAAATAAGTGTCTAGTCCAGAGATAACCAGTACAAAAGGTGGATCTGCAATAGGAAAAATGGAAAACATCAAATAACTTTTATCATTTTAATCATTCAAATCACAGTAGAGTTGACCTTTGAAGTTGGGTAGGCCCACTAATATGCAGATATAATTTCTTCAATAAATATATATATTCAGCCCTTCATGTCTGTGATTTTCCCATGTGGGGAGTCAACAAAACCATTAAAACAGTATTTCAGATCATGCTGAGGCAAAACAGATGCTTTGTGTGGTGAACACCCTGCACAGCAGCTCACATGCTGTGATTGGGGTTGAACCTCACAGTGAGCCAGCCTGAAGGTTGACCCCATACATGAACAAGCTGAGAAGACTCAATTACAAGAGGAGGACTCACATAGAACACACAAAGGAAATTTCTGGAACACTGAGATCAGGTGATGAAGGCAACTGTGCCACGGGGTCCCACAGAACACATAGAACATAAAGCCCCTCCACCAAGGCTGGGAGTCATAGTAGATCTACCTAATACATAAAAACAAACACAAAGAGTCAGCCAAAATGGGGATACAAAGAAACATGTCCCAAATGAAGGAACAGGAGAAATCTCCGAAAGGAGAACTCAATGAAATAGAAGTAAGCAACTTACCAGATATAGAGTTCAAAAAAACTGTTGTAATGCTGTTCAGGGAACTTAGTGCCAACTTCAACAAAGACACAAAAACCAAAAAACAAAACAAAACAAAACAAAACAAAAAACACATAGAAACCATAAAAAAGAACCAGTCAGATTTGAAGAATACAATATCTGAAATGAAGAATACACTTGAAGGAATACATATTAGACTGGATGAAGTAAAGAGTTAAATTAGCAAATTGGAAGACAAGGAACAAAATGCCAAGTCAGATCAGCAAAATTTAAAAAAAAAACACATAAAAAATGAGGGTAGTTTAAAGGACCTTTGGAACAACATTAAGTGTAACAAAATCCACATCATAGGAGTACCAGAAGGACAGAGAGAGTAAGGAATCAAGAACCTATTTGAAAAGAAAATGACTGAAAAGTTTCCTGACATGGTAAAAGGAGAAGATACACAAGTCCAGGAAGTACAGAGAATCCCAAACAAGATGAACTCAAAGATGACTAAAACAAGACTCAACATAATTAAAATAGGAAAGGTTAAAAACAAAGAAAGAATTTTAAGAGCAGCTAGAGGCAGATAGTTGCCTATAAGAGATCTCTCATAAAAAAGTTATCTGATTTCTCAACAGAGACATTTCAGGCCTAGAGGTATTGGCATGAAATATTCAAAGTGATGAAAAGTGAAGACTTGAGACCAAGACTACTTTACCAAGTAAAGCTATCATTTAAAATTAAAGGATGAATAAAGAGCTTCCCAGAAAAGAAAAAGCTAAAACAGTTCATTACCACCAAACCACCAGTATTGCAAAAAATATTAAAGGGTTTTCTAGAAGGAGGAGGAGGAAAAGGAGGAGAAGAAGGAGAAGGAGAAGGAGAAGGAGAAGGAGAAGGAGAAGGAGAAGGAGAAGGAGAAGGAGAAGAAGAAGAAGAAGAAGAAGAAGAAGAAGAAGGAGAAGGAGAAGGAGAAGGAGAAGGAGAAGAAGGAGAAGGAGAAGGAAGAAGAAGAAGAAGAAGAAGAAGAAGAAGAAGAAGAAGAAGATGAAGAAGATGAAGAAGAGGAGGAGGAGGAGGAGGAGGAAGAAGAGGAAGAAAGAGAAGGGGGGAGGAAGAACAGAAGAGCATAGTTATAAAGAATAAAATTCAATAAATATTGTACATACCTATCAAATATCACTTTAAATGTAGGCTTAAATGCTCCAAAGACATAGGCTAGCTGAATGGATAAAAAAACAAAACCTGTACATATGGTGTCTACAAGAAAACCACTGCAGAATAAAAGACACAAGCAGACTAAAAGTAAAAGGTTTGTAAAAGAGTGCTTGCTTTGGCAGCACATATACTAAAATGTGTAATGATACAGAGAAGATTAGCATGGCCGCTGCGCAAGGATGACACGCAAATTCATGATGCATTCCGTATTTAAAAAAAAAAAAGGTTTGTAAAAGATATTTCATGAAAATGGAATTTTTTAAAGCTGGAGTAGAAATGCTTATATCTGACAAAATAGACTTTAAAGCAGAAGCTATAGTAAGAAACAAAGGACAATACATAATGATAGAGATAGCAATCCAACAAGAGGATACAACCCTAGTAAATATTTATACACCAAATAGGAGCACCTAAATATATAAAGCAAATCGTGATGGACAAATACAGAGAGATTGACAGGAATACAGCCATAGTCAGAGATTTTAACACCCCATTGACTTCAATGGGTAGATCTTCCTGGCAGAAAAATCAACAAGGAGACAGCAGCCTTAAACAATACATTAGATCAAATAGACTTAATTGATACCTTCAGAGCATTTCACACCAAAGCAGCAGAATATACATACCTTGAAAGTGCACATGGAATGTTTTCTAGGATAAACCACACTTAGGATACAAAACAAGTCTCAATAAATTTCAGATTGAAATCATATCAAGCATCTTCTCTGACCTCAATGCTGTGAAAGTAGAAATCAAACACAAAAATATTGAAAAGCATGGGAAGACATGGAAGCTAAATAACACGTTATTAAACAATGAATGGGTCAACAATGAGATCCAGGAGAAAATCAATAGACACCTTGACACAAATGAAAATGATGACACAACAATTCAAAACTGTGGGACATTGAAATCCAGTGAATGAAACAAACAAACAGAATAGAAAAAGACTCATAGATACAAAGAAAAAACTGATAGCTGTTAGAGAAGTGGGGGACTGGGGAGCTGGGTAAAAAGATGAAGAAATTAAGCAAACAAAAAAAACAAGAAAACAACTCATAGACACAAACTACAGTATGATGATTACCAGAGGGAAAGCGTGGTGGGGGAGTGAGAAGAGGGTAAAGAGAGGATAAATGGAGTGATGGAGGTAGACTTCACTTTTGGTGTTGAACACACAATGCAATATACAGATGATGTATTACAGAATTGTATGGCTGAAACCTATATAATTTTATCAATGGTCCTCCAATAAATGTAATAAAAATTTAAAAAAGAAATAGTATTTGACTCTTGGTTGGGAATTTGTACATGTAGATGACTGACTGTATGCATTGGTTCTGTGCATTTTATATACAGGACTTGAGTATCCTCAAATTTTGGTATCTGTGGGGGTTCTAGAACCAACCCTCTGCCATATCAAAGGACAACTTTTGTTAAATTCTGGAAGAGCCAAAGTTGTATGTGGATTTTTGACAGCGTAGAGAGTCAGCATCCCTAAACCCCATATTGTTCAAGAGTCAACTGTACTTTTGTATCAACTTATTATTTCATTGAGTCACTATTTCTGCTATCAAGATTAATTCCAGATGACTCACACTTGTGTGCAATTGAGCCTCAAGTATTTGAATTGGGATAGAAGGCATACTATTCAAAATCAGTGCTCTTATTGACCTGGGTGAAGCCTTGGCTCAGTTAATACAGTCAGGTGTTAGACCCTGTTTAAATATTTGTGGTTGCTGATTGTGGTGAAAGGGACACAATTAGCTTCTAGGCTAAGGTTGAGAGATATCTAGACCAAAACTGAAGGAATTTCATAAGACCATGGATAAAGATTGGTTATTTTTAGCACATAGAAGGGTGGGAAAATGTAGATTTTTGGTTGTTCATATGAAGAATAATTCATGTGGTGAAGGCCGGGGGAAGGGGGTGGAAGCTTAATGGAAGCGGGAAAAGGGGGCGAATGGGGGAAACCTGTAACAGTGTCAACAATAAAAAATTTTTAAAGAAAATAATGCAAAGTGGATCAACAATGATACACGAATAAAATCTGTGTTTCACACATTAACAACTGTAAACATACTACTTCCCACCCTTGTCACAACACTCTCTAGGGGCTCTCTAGTTTGTTCTGTTTTACTGGAATCCAGATCATGCAAGTTTTGCTTCTAATGAATTAGCTTAGGTTTGGGGATCTTTTCTTGAAGGGTATCATTGTAATTAATACATTGAAACTATTTTGAGCTAAAACTTCCTTTTAATCCCTATAAAAATGAGAGTTAAGGCAGTTCTCCTTAACAACCTGCTTCATACAAGAGGGCAGGAGGAGTCAAGCACATTAAATGCTTGTCTGAAGTGTGATTATATGAAGGAAAGGGATTACTGAAACAGCTCAATATTTACTTAACTTAAGGTCTGTTCCCCAGGTGTTGACAAGTTGTGGGTTGCTACTGAATTGTTTGAGCAATGTTTAGTACGACTTACACCGAAATCAAAGCATCTGTTTTAAATTCTGACTTCTGCTCCCATAGGCAGACATTCAGGTCTTTCAGTGTTCAGACACTGGGTTCTTTATTCACTAGTGGGCAGGTCAGAGGAAGACTATGAGTAGCTTTATTTTGGAACCATATCTCTGTGTGTGTGTGTGTGTGTGTGTGTGTGTGTGTGTGTGTGTGTGTGTGTGTGTGTGTGTGTGTATGCATTACTCTAAACCCCATAAAGAAGATCCCATTAGAAAAAGTCAATGAAATAGTTCTGTCTTGTCCATTAATTTGACACGTGTCAAAATACCAGGCAAAACTTGTGCCTGTTAGCCTTCATTTTATTGCCCCTTAAATCAAACACTAATCATCAGTCTTACATTTCATTCACTTGGGAGTGTGTGGCTTCATTTAATTTTAACCCCTGGGAATTATTAGGAAGATAAAAAATGAAATGTAGGCAACTTATGAATGGGCTGGTAGAAACTGAAGAGTATGTCCAACCTGTGATACTTCAAGTGAGTAAGAATAGACTCTAAGAGCAAAACATTTTCACATAATTATGAAACAAGTTCAAATTGAAAAAAACAATTAGAAATAAAGAAATGGCATTTGAAGAAGGGAGAAACTTTGGATTCCAAACACCATATTACTATTCTCATGGAATGGTTGCAGTTGACTGTCTTTTGAGGTGGAGTCTAATATGTGCCTGTTTGCTGCTTTATTGGTGTTTATTTATTTAAAATTTTTATTGAATTTATTGGAGTGACATTGTTAATACAATTATATGGGTTTAAGGTGTACCTATAATACATTATCTGTATATTGTCTTGTCTGTTCACCACCCCAATGTGTTATTGATTTTTAAACCTTACTTTCAAATCCCAAAGGCAAAAGAAAAACAGGAGTGAACATGTCAGGCATTGTCGTTGCCTCGCTAATAGAAATGTGAGAGGTATTTCTGCACCAGAGAAAAATTGACTGGCAGTAAATGATGGTGTAAATCCTATGAGAAGCTCTTAAGACTGTAGAGCTGATGAGATCTGATCTTTGAGTTGCAAATGAATAAACTGAGGTACCAAATAGTAAACTGATTTGTCTAGGGTTATGCATATAGTGGTTTACCTTGATTAAATGCTAGTCATTTTATTCATTCTAATATATTCTTTCAGAATTATGTAACTGATTCTTTCATACATCAAAGTTCGTTCATTCAACAAACATTTACTGAGTGCTACCAAGCCACTGTTTTAGATGCAAAGAAGAAATACAAATGACCCTTCTCTCAGGTATCCACTATCAAAGACTGTTTATCTGAGGATCTTATTGGTTTCCATGATTTTCTTAACTTGAAGATTAAATAAGCTTTATA